TTTATGGTGTAAGGCATTTTGAATTTCCTTGTTGCTGAAATGTGGTATACAAATAAACCTGACTTGACAAATAGAAGGCAGAAGCTTATTTAAAATATATACTTGTATATTAATGAATGAAATACAGCTGTGCCTTTTCTGTCTGATTTTTATTGCCACAAATGTTCAAATACATTTTTGCGAAGGAAGAGATTTTTTTTTTTAACGCTTTCCAAAATTATATTTACCTCAGTTTATGGTAAAATATGAACCTAACTGGATTTGTCAAATCTTACTCACATTACACACATTACTTACCAGCATGTGGTAAATACATATTTAAGATATGATTCAGGTAATTTTAGCTCTGAAGCGGTTTTTCCAGTTGCAGCTGTTTTGACAGTAACTAAATGTTACTGTTTCAAATTGAAAAACATTTCACTTTCTCCTTCTGTTGTGGGCTATTTCTGCTATCAGGCTGAGGAACAGGATGTCACACTCTGCTGAGTTTTTGCACAACAATAAATTCACAAAGATGGTTTATCTGTCTCGCTTTTCCTGTCACAACACAACTAGCCGCACACATCTGTATGCAGTAGCATAGGAAAACTGAAAAGAGTGGAGCTGTGTTTTAGCCTTTTGAGGTTTCAACCTCTGTTACTGAACATGTTGGATTTTAAAAACTCAGGAGCTATTTCAAAGTCTAAGACTGAGGCTAAAGATCTACGTTCTCTAGAGAATTCACCAGGCTTCTGCTCCAGCAATGCAAACCTAATTTATATAAGATGCTTAAATGTAGAAAATTAAATGTGAACTCCAGAATTATGTTAAGTTTGTTTGCTCTCACAGATGCGTTGTGATGTCGCCTCGGCTCCTAATTTCATTAAATAGTTAAAAAATATATTTAATATTGGTCTTAAATCCTATAGGACAAATCACAATCGTCTTAAAAAAACATTTATAATACCTCGGCCACAAACTTCTGATCGATGTGTCTCTAATTGTTACTTTTGGTGTGACTGCCACCTACTGGTTCACAATAGTTATTTCAACGCTTGATGGGATTTTTTCATGTTTCTCTAGGTGGAGAATTCAAGAGGAAACCGATATGTAAAGCAGTGCAGCCAAGGTCACAGTCTGTACTTCTCCAGCTTTACAAATAAAAACTATGCTCTATTTGAAGCGTAGGAGAGGTGAGACAGGAAAGGTTTCCTATTATTTGCACTGTCAAAAAACAAAAAACAAACAAAAAAAAAAAAAAAAACTATAGTTTTAAGCTCACGCAATATATCTGAAACTTACACTGCACTAGGGTAAGCAATGAATTTCAACCAGTTAGCTCATTACAGATTGACAAAAAACAAGTTGAGGTCAGAGATCTACAGAAACCCACTCATGTCCGTGGAACACCAGCTGCGACTCCTCTGCTATCTTCCACACTCTGACGGTGCCGTCTCGCCCACCTGCAGTGACGCAGCGCTCACGGCTCAGACTGTCCAGTCCGGTGATCACATCCTGATGACCGAACCTGCAAACGCAACGGCATTAGACTCAAAGACACACACACACACACACACACAAAGAAAAGCGCTGTAAAGGATTACTTTTCTGCAGAGCGACTTACAAAGTTTCCACGTATGCGTTCTCGTCTACGTTCCACACTTTGACTGAGCGGTCGTGAGAGGCGCTGTACAGATCATGAGTTCCCTTCCTGAATGAAAGACCCTGAGAACCAAACAGAAAGATATTCATCTCTGCAGCACCAAATTAAACCTGCAACACATTTTATAAGGGGAAAAGCTTTATAGCGCTTTGGGTAAAAGGAGTAGAACGTACCGACACCGGGCCTTTGTGTCCTGTAAATTTATACAGATGTTTACACGTTTCTCCCTCCCAAATCATTATCAGATTGTTCATGTCTCCTGTGGCCTGAAGAGGTGTGAAGATGCCACTGTTACATTTGATGTGGCAGTTTTACAACAGAGGTGTGATACAGACGTTTCCATAACAAAATCAGGAATCAACAGAAAACAAAGCACTTTTTCTCACCAGGTATTTTCCATCTGACGATATGGCCATACACAGGATGTGGGCCGTGTGTCCAACATGGCGGTCTTCTGTACCTTTTCTTCCACCATGTATTGTATGGAGCTTCTTCCCATTTTCAACATCCCCTGAAAATATCATTGAGCAAGATTTATTAACAGATTTACAGCCCAGTTTTTCCTCACTGCAGTTAAAATATATAGCCAAATGCTAACATTTAATTATGGAGCAGTCTTTGGCAGCTGAGAAGATGCATCTGTCATCAGGAGTTATAACCAGACACGTAATCGGTAATTTGTGACCTCTTAGCACCCTGATCTCTGAAGCATCTGGTGGCAACAGCTAAAAAAAAAAAAAAAAAGAAAAAGAAAAAAAAAAAAATATATTATTTAAGGACCTTAGATATGTAGAGGTATTGAATGGAAAAACATTTCCACACTTACGTCTTTGGCTATAAGACGCTGTAGCTTCCCTTTCTGCTCAAGCTGAAATAAAATGAGAAATGGTAAGTAGAACAGAGAGAAGTTCAGCAAGAACATATATACTACTCAGATGTTATGAGACTTTACAGAGTTTGTACATGTTTTCATGTCAAAAGTCCATATTTTTGGCCTGTACAATTACTCTACTAAACAATGGGTTAAATATACTTGTTAGAATAGTGCAAAGCACTTCTAGTGACTGTATCTATCTGACCGCCAAATGGCACAACAGATAGAAAATAAAACATTATAACAATAAAGCAGGTGTACAAACTAGAAGTCTCATCAGACCAGACGTGTATTTTTGGTAAAAATGTGTTTGTTAGTCTCTCTGTGGGTCTTCAGAAATGCCTAATCAACCAGAAGACACTTCTTACCACTTCTTCTTGAAGCCGTCCAGCTATCAGATCTGTCTCAAATGACTCATCTTCAGCTTTCTTTTCCTCTATGAAGAACAATTAATCTGTGAAAATCTTATCTTAAACATTGCAAAGCTACAGTTTACTCATATACAATAATGTACACAAGCCTACCTTCTTCTTTTAGTTGTTCAAGGTAAAGTTTAGCTAATCTGAGCTTCTTCTCCTGTGGAGTTTCCTCAAACTCAATCTCCTCTTTGGCCTGCCTTTTCTTCGACACGGTGGGACTACAGAGAAAAAAACAAGATAAACACACATACTGAATCACAGGGAATCGCTTGTTCTTAGGCAGTAATTTACCCTTGTTAGAAGAGCAGAATTTGATTATTTTTATCTTGCATCTGTTTTTTAAGTTGCAACCACAAAAATCAGTGTAGTTTTAGAAATGTTGTGTATTAGATCGATACAAATTAGAGCGCAACGGTGAAGTGGAAAGAGAACAAACTTTCACTGTAATTTCAGTCTTCTGTGGAATATTTTTATGAGTTTTTCACATCTGGAGACAAACTTTGTTCCGATTTGTCTTCCTGTTGATTAGATGGAGATTTTCATGCCACTGATTCATTTAGGTCTGGACTTTGACTAGGGCATCCTAACACAGGAATGTTGTGGTGGTTTATGCCGTGTCACTGTAGCTCTGGCTGTGTTTTTCGAATGGTTCTCCTGCTGGAAGGTGAACTTTTGCTCCAGACTTCAGTCTTTTACAGGCTCTAATATTTTTTTTTCCCCCAGACTTGTTCTGTGTTCAGCTCCATCCATTCTCTCCATCAACTCTGATCAGCTCACCTGTTGTTCCTCAAGAACTGAAATTTCACCAGCAGAATCAAGAGTTCAACTTAAAAAGTAACATCCTCTCTCCTACCTCTCCACCTCAGAGTCACTGGAAATCTCTTCATTGTATTTGCTGCTGGATTTCTTTGCTCGTATTTTGCTCTGTCCTCCTGAATCTCCATCAGCCTGCAGCAAAAGATACAATCAACACATTTATTGAGCGCATAAACACGAACAGTTGCTAACATGACTTAGCTTGATTGCTAACAGTTTACTCAACTTACCTTCCGCTTTACCGCTGCTGTTTCTTTGCCTTTTTTGGTCGTTTTAGGTTTCCCTTTTGTCTTAATGAAAAAAGACGACGACATTGTGATATGTGACAAAATACGTTCTAGAAAAAACTTTAGCTCTATCGCTGCTCAAGTTTCTCTTAGCAGGAACATTGAAGCCACATGTGTAGATCGCAACCAATGTGGTAGTCCATGCCTGGTCAGAAGAACAAATGCTGATTTGCTCGGAACCTTGCCAGTTTTAAAATGCCCCGCCTTTTCTCGGAAGAGTGATTTTTCATTGGTCGAATCCTTGAAAGAGGGTGGAACAGGAAGTTGTACAGATTAAAAATGCTTCCCTCGGGAACTACCTCTCCTCAGCAATGTTCCACAGGTATTTGTAAAAAAATACGGATTTTAAAACATATCAGTTCAAAGCACATAATTTCCACGTAGTTTTAAATATAAACATGCACTTAATATTTCACGCATATGCGAGTGAAAATCTTTTACGCGAGTGTTAAAAAAATTAAGCAACTACATCAGGACCTTTATACTGTAATACTGGAGTAGTACTACTACTTCCTCTACTACGCAGTATTTCCATGTATTCCGCTGCCTTTGTCTTCAGTGACTGTGTTTTTTAGGCTCTCTCCCTGAAGGCTATCTAATCGGTCAGGTGAGACTCTTATGCACTAACATTAAAGCTTAGTTTAACAACAGCTGATGGATAGTTTGTGCGTCCAGCTGCTTTAGTGGGAGGGGCTGAGAAGGAGGCAAGGGGCAGTGGGAGCGATCTTAACAAAAAAACCTCTCCATCTTGTCTGGCATTAAATAATTTAATATGAAAACAAGGAATGATCGCTAAATGAATGTGAAAAGTTTGTCTGACCCCCTGTTTGTGGAGAAAATCAAAACTTGGAATGTGTTTCTATATGTCCAGATTTACTTCCTCTCAAATGCCTCCAAAGAGAAGCTCTGGATCAAGTCCAGGACAGCCGCAAGTGAAGATGATAAAGATCGGCAGCCCTTTGGATGTCCAGGAGTTCACTGGGTCTGTGGAGGACAGATACAGGATGGCAGAAGAGTCCAGCCACTCCCCTCTTCCCACCAACGAAGTGATCACAATGAACTCAGTTTAACCTTTCCATTCACCGAAAAGCAACAGTTGCTATTTTAAGACATTGTTGTGTCAAAGACATTGTTTCGATCTGAAGCACGACTAAAATCTTGACCGGGTTGCTATCGTTTTCGTAGCTTGAAGTTTTAAAGAAATCTGGTTCAAAACAGATTTGCCACAGGGCGTTTCGTATCTCTTTGGAAATCGATGAATTAAAGTAATTTGTCATAAACTATTCATAGTCTGTTGTAAGAAAACGTGATTATGTGTCACCAGGAAATAATATTCAACTACAGAAGGTTTCTAAGATATTTAGGGTTCATTTGGGATAATAATAATAATCAAAGTAGTAAAAATAGATATGCTATATAGCGTTTATAGTTGCATTGATAGAAAATGGCTTCTTTACCGATGAGAGAAATGGAAGGAGCAGTATGGGTGCCAAATCAGGGTTGAAATCGACAAAATATCGGTTTAATCGCAAACCACATGTCACTAGTAGCTTCTAGGTTTTAAACAGAATTATTTTAATGAGAGTGATGGATGGCATTCCTTTAATTGTCATGCAAAGACGTCGCTTTCCAGAGCTGGAAATATTCTCAAACAGCCACATTTTTATGTCTCAGAAACTAGCCCATGCTTACTCCGAAGCAGAGCTGGTTTTGCACGTTCTTTGGAAACTATTTACCGTCTCTTTTCTTCTCCTTTGGCAGCCTGAAACTTTTGACTCTGATGAAGAACATTTTGCAAGCCAAGGCATCAGGACGGACACCGTCAGCCTCCTCATGAAAATAGAGCAGCTGCAGGCGCAGCTCAAATACGAGCGCAGATGCAGGATCTTAGCTGAGAGAGAGCTGAGGGAACTCAAAGGTTGGTGGAAAGATACACCAAGTAATCAATCATTAATCTAGTAGCACGTCCTGCCATGAGCACATCATGGATGTGACATCAAGCAGATGTGTGGTTATTGTTGATGTCATGTCCATGTCATATTTTTGCAGATTTGTTTGGTCAAATGATTTAAAAAAAATCCATCTGTGACTAAAAATAAATCAATTTTAAATCTGACAAGTATAACAATATCAAGAAATAATACTCAAAATGTTTTCCAAAAAGTTAAATGGCAGCAAAAATGTAAATACATTTTATGTCTTTAATTACACAAAGTTCTGGTGTCCAGACTGTTCAGATCTTAAATGGATTCCATGCGGCTTTTACAGAAGCTGATGTAGTCTTATTCTAGATTGAACTGCGGGTTATTACCAATTATGAAGAAAACTAGAGGTAGTGTATAATATTAGTTTAATTACATTGCATTTTGTAATGACGATCATGTCTTATTTTATATATGAGTGAAGGCATCATGGTTATTCCTAGAAGCTTTCTTAAATGTTGACTTCATGAAGACTTCAGTAATTGTAAAGAAGCTGGTTTGAGTAATGTGCATGCAGGAAACAATAATCCCACAGCCTCACTGCATCCTCTAGTCCTGCGTGAGAATGTCAGGACGACTCCAGCCGATTTGCTGGAACTTGTCTTGCAGCTTATATTTTTTGTGTGCAGCGAATACTTATCTTGTGTTGGGTCTCGCTTTTCAACCACTACTCTGTGGCAAAGTTATCAAGTTATATAAAATGTGTCTTACAGGTGTATTTATGTTGATTTAACATAATTTGCAGAGATGAACACGCTCATGATACAGATGAGGCACACAGCAAATGAACTTCGAGCAACTCTGGATCACGTTCTTCACGGAAGCGAGGCCGGGGTTGAACCACAAAACACTGATGAAGGCGTGACCTTCCTGAGCGATTCTGGAGTTCATGTGGGAGGAGTTCATAATATCCCAGAGGTCAGTGCCAGAATGATCTGTAAGTCTTTTGCCAACACATCAGTTAAAGGTATTTGGCTCAGTTTTTGTTTGGATATCACACTGGACAAACCTGATTGTGCTTGTATTGGGATATTTATATCCTTCACCATACTAATGAAGAGTGTGATTTTTATGTGATCATTTTTTATTTATTTTTTTTTCAGGATGACCTTAACTTTGTGTATCTTGCTGAGAACATACGAGTGCCAAAAGATCTTTATGAGCGTGTTGCAGACATTTCTGACTTTAAGAAGTATGTCGGCGCTCTGCTGATGATCATTTTCGACCGAGACACTTTGGCCACTCACTGTCTGCAGGGCCGGAAGAATAACTTCACAGGAGAAGATAGCCACAAGCCTCCTCTCCCACCTGAGATCTTAAAAAGCTTAATGGGTGAGATAAAGAGCACCAGCCAAAACTCAAACATCACTCTTTGTAACGTAACAATATCTACCTTAATATCGTTAGTATTTTGCAATGTTTCTCTATTTTTATTTTTTTTTTTACTTTTCAGATCATGTCGCAGAAAAGTTTGGCGTCGACACTACCCAGATTAAATATGCCATCCGCACAAAGCTGAACAACGAGGACAAGCTGCTGAAGAAGAGGTTGGGCTTGGTTAAAACTGAAAGCAGAGCGTCTGTTGATCAAACTTTCTGCCAAGATGCTTCGATTCTGTCTAGAAATGATGCAATGGCAAATGACTCTGTTTTCTAGTGGTGCTGATCTGCCACTGTATTACTAGCTAATCTCATCGTTGCCTTTTTTTTTTAACCAAGTTAAATTTTCTCCCACATTAAGCTGCTTAAGTTTTTCAAAACTTTATAGAACACTTTTTATGTTGACAACTCTTAGTTGATTATTTAGTGTCTGAAAAGCTGGTAACACTATAAAATGTCACACACACACACACACACACACACGCGCACACACACACACACACACACACATATATATATATATATATATATATATATATATATATATATATATATATATATATATATATATGTATGTATATATATATATATATACTAGGAACCTGGGCATATATATATATATATATATATATATATATATATATATATATATATATATATATATATATATATATATATATATATATATATATATATATGCCCAGGTTCCTAAACACAAGTGTGTCTGTTGCGGTGATTGTTTTTGTAAGTTGTGGTAGCGTAGAAACAGAATAACATTTAACCTCTCAATCAAGTGTACGTCATATGTGTACACCAGGTACATTTCAAACTGTTGCTATTTGTGATGATCTGTGCAAAAAGTGATGTTGTGTTTTTGAGTTTTGTGTTCACAGTTTCAGATGATAATTTAAGTGAAAGGCTCTCCTTCCTCTGAACAGTGTGTTTTTTCAGGTACTGTATTTTTTTATATAATTATGTGAGTAGAATAAAATCCAGTATATTCTCTATTGTTTGCTTTTTTTTTTTTCTGACAGTCAACAGATGTCAGTGGTGAGTCTTGTTTGCCCACTGTGTTACAGGTCACATGACCTTTTGCCTCTCACTGACTGATACTAAATAAACGTTTTCTGCTTTAGATTAGTTGGGCCTCATAAATTATATATATTTGCTACATGTCAGTTGCACCAGTCTCTTGTGTTTTTGTGCAGCAAAATACATAGAAAACAACACAACCTCTGCCCAGTTTAGTTGGTATTCACAAACTTGGAAGCTTGAACTTTTTAAATTAAAGGGTAGCACTGGTTGCTATGGCCAAACATTTCCTCCTTAGTTTCATCAGACCATAGTATATGCCACTAGAAATTAAGATTTTTGTCTTTGAGTTCATTTGCAAACTAACCTCCGTTTTTATTGCCACATAGGAAATGATAACTTTTCCCCTTTTTGCCCATGTTGATGCATGGCTTGTTCTTCTGGACAACAACACTCACTTATTAACTTCAGCCAGCTTCCTCACTTCTTTTTTTTTTTTTTTTTTTTTCTGCTTTTGCTCCAGGGTATTACACACATTTCACACTAAAACACATTCATCTCTGTGACACAGAAACAATCTCCGTCTGGAAAGATATGATGAACATTTCCATGCTGTTTATACTTGGATATCATGGTTTCAACAGATAAATGTGGCACATTCAGGCATTTGGATTTCACTCCCAATATCTTGTCCATAATTATCTTTCTGACAACTTGACTGATTTCTTCAGATTTTTCCATTGTGTCACCCAAAGAAACACTATGCTCAAGGGATTGCCTTTAAATAAGCCCACAGGTGTGTCTCCGGCTAATTGAAATGTTGAGAATGAACCTTTCAGAATCTGGTGGTAACGCTGAGAAGCTAACCAATCCTCCAGTGCCCTCACTCACTCTGGAGCTATGGAGAGAATAAAGGATTATGTGTAACAGCGATCCCAGTATACAGTGTGTAACAGTCGCCGCCACATGCAGATGGATGAAAGAGTGAGTGTCATTGGAGAGAGGAGGTTTGGTGTGCTCATCTCCTCTTGAAAGAAGGGATTTGAGGTGATCACCAGCTGATGGCTCCTCCCTCGTCCGTCCCTGCAGCTGAGTCAGTTCTCACAGTTCATTTCCTCTCACACTGGTGGCATCAGTGCTCCCTCAGGTCATATGTTCCTTTTTAAGGAATCCTTTGTTTTTAATCAAAGATTTTAACACCTCTGAAGACTTTTGGGCAGCAGAAGGACTCATGGAAGGGCTCAGCTATACAAGAACATCTCACAGGACCAAGGCTCAGTTATAAAATGTAAGATTTGTAACTTGTTTTTGTGTAAATGAGCAGTCAATTTTTTATGGACACATTATTTTTATTTTTTTATTTATTTTTATTTTTTTTTATGAAAGTTGTAATTAATGAGATTTTTAGAGAAAATTTGGACAGTGAAAAGTGATTTCAATTTATACTTGCCTGGTGTTGATGTTAACATTATCAAGACACCTTAAAACTTATAAACTAATGGTTGTACCAATAAGAGAGACAAAAAAATACAATCAATAAATGCATTTAATAATGAATCAGAGAACCCCCCAGTGGCTCCCCTGAAATATTTAAATTTGAAACAAAATAGTTTACATCAAATTTCACCATGTCCTTGTAAAAGACTTTGTAGGAAAAGTGGTGAGATCTGAAATATCATTTTAAAAATTAAGTGTCCAAAAGTCTTTATATCTTCTAAAACCAGAAAATTAATAAATACCTAAATGAAACTGCAATTTGCATTTAAATTATGTTTATATTTCCTTTTTTATAATTTGCATCTAAGATTAACCTTTGGAATCAATTGTGTGTACTGTGATGATGTGTTCTTTTTAATACACTTTAAAAAAACAAACAAAAAAAAAACAACTGTTTTACATTGCAAATTATTTTACTTCAGTATTGTCCTGTTACTGCTTTTAATATTAATTTCAACTTAAATAAGAAAACAGTTACCATTTTTCTCTGAAGATTTCTATGAGCTATTTTCTACCTATTTAACTTACTTGTGGGTTATTTTTGTTACTATAACATTTCTCAACCAATTGTAATTAAATTTTACATTTAGAAATGAATAATTTTCTTTCTTATTTCATTAAAATTTGTGTCCATTCTCAGGTTTCAATATATACCAAAGATACAGTGCCGTTGTAATCCTACACATTCAACCAAAACTGTTTATTTTGGGCATAATTCAAGCATCTTGGGGAGCATTAAGTCCAATTAGATCCTGCATGGATTTAAAGAATTGCATAATTCTTTGAAGCCAGTAAAAATATGTGAATTTTATTTCTATAGAACAATTTCTGCCCATTTAGAAACAAACAAACAAAAAAATCAAATAGACTCGACGCCTTCAGTGTATGTTGGTCTGCAACAAGAACATGTCTGTTATGAGAACAACCTTACATAATGTGAGGATGTACGTTTTTAAGTCTCCATGCTGGGGGATAAACCGCTGCAGAACTGGCATGCCGCTCACTGTCCACCAGAGAAGATTACAGTCAGCAGATAACATCGGGCCTTGCATTTAGGACACTCTGTCTCAAATATGAAACCCAAATATGGTTTTTAAAAGCAACTGTTGAGATCCACATAAAGAGGGCACTGAAGCATAAGATGCATGCAAAAATTGTTAACATTATATTTAACTTCTGCTTGATGATTAGTCCCACCTTACAGTGTTTTCTGTGTTGTTTTGTGAACGTTGTGAAGAGAGGATCCTCTTTGATGTTATGATGATGAAGGGTGGCGCTGATCACACACTAATCACTGTAATGCTAGTGTGCAGCTGCAGCCGGACTGAAACAAGAACACTCATTATCTCTTATTTCTGAAGAATGATTATAGATGGAGGAGAGTCACAACGTCCCCCATGAATTATTCCTCTTGATCATGTTTTGCCCTCCTCAAAGAAAGTCAGTGTGTCCCTTACTTAATCTTCCTAAAGTTAATGTTGAAAGTTTTATGTATTTATTTATTTATTTATTTTTTTGCTGTCAAAGTTTAAAAATGTCAAGCAGACATCACTAGATGCTCGACTTGTTGTGGTCATGTTATTTTTTAATCTAAAGTTGAGCTGCACATTCAGAACTTAATAATCTGCCAGAGGGATTAATTCATAATTTCACAGCAATTTTATCTCAGATTAAATACAGAAAGTTTGTTTCTGATTCATAAAATCCAGAAGCAGCTATGACATGGTTAATTCTTCCTAGACATAAAAGATTTCTGAAATTTACAGCATAGTATTCACAGTATCCACAACCAACATTTCAAATATGTCTGATGCCATTCCTATTCATCTAGATTTTTTTTTTTTTATCTCTACATATCAAGAGATATGTACAGATAATACATATCTTGAAGCATTCATTGGCATTTTCCACTATTCATATTATGACTGCATAAAAAGCATTGAGTAATTACAGATTATAATTGAAGTTATGTGAATCCAGCAGTGTCCCGGATTGCCCTTTGGACTCCATTAGGGAAGTGGGTGAAAGGAGGATGTTAGCCAAGTTGTTTTCGTTTACGGAAAATTTCTCTCAACTCCTGCATCACACTCCTCTAGCAACAAACTATGGCCCACACAGCAACACCCTGACTGTTCATTGTTATTGGTTTAAATATTTCTACATCAGAAGTATAACATACATATTCACTAAGTAGTGAAAATAGGGGAAATCAAAATATATGGAAACCATGTATTTTATCTCAGCAGGTTGACGAGAGGAAGTTTTAATGTTAAATGGGCAACAACTGCATCCCATGTTTTTAAAATCTTAGTTTCTTCAAGTAAGAATTATGTTTCACATATCAACAAAGTTTATTTTCATGAAAATATGCAGTGCTATTGAAACCAAGAAACACATGAATGTTGAAACAATGAAACTTGTTGTCGTATAAAGACTTACATTTAAAATATCTGAAATGCCAGGTGTGAAAAATAAATGTATTTCGTTGAGATATTTTTATATCCCACTTTTGTTTTATATAATCCAGTTACTTTAAATTGAAAGGGAATCAACCTGAGTGAATTCAAAAGTGGTTTTTTAATAATTATACAGTTTTACTTGTAAGAGGAAAACAACTCTTTCACCTGATAAACGGGGAAACCACATTGTTTGCTTCAGTCTTCAGTTTGACTTGCAGAGTTGAGAAATTGCTCAAATAGAATGTAGCTGATAACATAAAGTAGGCAAAAAAGTTTCCTAATGGAACACGTCATGTCTGAAGGAATTTAAGGACAGATGAGAAGCAAATTCACTGTCATTTACTAGTCTGAAAAATGTCATTTTTATGGCTTTTGGACTCCAGTGAATCACAATGAGAGCCATCCATCCACAAATGGACAAAACATAGATCAGTGATGACCTTTTCACAGGAGTGGCTGACCAAAGAACATCACTCAGGGTGACAATATCTTAATCATTGCAGGCCTCTCTTGCCTCAGTTAAGGTCAGTGGTCTTGATTCAACAGTAAAAGAAAAAAAGATGGGGTAAAAATGGGATACATGTCACACAGAGCGCGGAGGTGAAAAGAAGCGCTGACCTAAAAGAACACAAAGCCCTTCTCACCTCTTGCCTAAAACGTCTCAGTGATCCCTTTAGGGGGGAAAAAAAATATTGTACTGGCAAAGCAAAAGCATAACTTTTTGAAAGGTTAGTTTTCCATCATATCTTGTGAAAATCCCCATTAGACTGACAATCAAACATGATGATGGTGTAGGATTGCTCTGCACCTTTTGCAGTCAGTTGACTTGTCACAAATCATGGAACCATAATTTCTGGTTGCTATCAGAAATTGTAGTTGGATGTTGGGTGATAATATGAAGCACACCAGGAAGGCCACCTCAATGACTTAAAAAAAAAAAGTTAAGATTTTGAAATGGCTTAATCAATGTCTGGTTTAAAGTTTGATTGAGATTCAAAAACAGGCCCTTGGCACTTAAACCCACATCATGGAAGAATGTGTTGAATAAAAACAATTCAGGCAAGAAGAGTGAAGATAAAGTCCTCTTCAGACTATCTTTTTCTGATTTTGAAGTTTGTAATCTAAAAAAAATATGATAGATTGATCAATTATCTAAATGTTTAAATCTAATAAAAAGCTGAACAGAAGAAATCTGTGATGGAGCAAAAGCTTTTTCAGACCTTTTCATTGTACCATCACCTTTTTTTAGCTCTTTCTCCTGGTGTTACTACCCTCAGTCTGTTTGTTTTGGGTTGCTTTTAGGTATTTGAAGAAGCAGCAGTTTTCCATTTTTGACAGGTAAAAAAATTCACTGGGCTCTATCTGGAAACACTAAACCAAAAGAATTTGAATTTCGGTCCCATTTGAACAGATGCACACAGAAAGAACTCACAGATGGCAATTCTTATGTGATGCTACATTAATGAGCATGTAGAGGACTGACTGTCAAACATAAAGGACAGCAGTATGCAAATGTTACATTTAGTGAATGTTTTAATTGCTTGAAAAATGTTTACTCTTTATGTGAAATTCATTAAAAATGTGCCTAAATGACTTTTTTTTTATTCCTCTTTTCAGGAGTGAAGAGATGTTTATTTCTAAGACATCCTTGGAGCTGATGACAGAGTAATGGGGAAAACAGGAGTGCAGACATCTTCTTTGAAACTTTTAATATGAATGATGGAGGAGTCAAGCACTGCTTTCACCTCCGAGTATAATGACAGCACCTCAACATGGACACCCATGGCCTCTGCTCCCAACAGGCAGCTGGGCACACTTCCCAACCCGCTGACTCGATTCAAAGACCTGACAGGACTGCTTTTCATGGTGACCCTGAACGTTCTCGCACTTCTGGCCAACACCGCAGTGATGGTGGTCATTATCAAAGCCCCTCACCTCAGGAAATTTGCCTTTGTGTGCCACCTCTGTGCAGTGGACCTGCTGTGCGCCATCTTGCTCATGCCTCTCGGCATCGTGTCCAGCTCGCCGTACTTCGCCGAGGTCATGTTTACTGTGCTGGAGTGCCAGATCTACGTCTTCCTCAATGTAATCCTCATAGCTGCCTCTATCTTCACCATCACAGCCATCAGTGTGGAACGGTACTACTACATTGTCCACCCCATGCGCTATGAGGTCAAGATGACCCTGAAGCTGACCTCAGCTGTTGTGGTGATGGTGTGGGTGGCTTCGGCCATTTTGGGCTTTTCCACCGTTTTCGGATGGCCGTCTTATGGCCTGAAGTCCATCAGTGCTGCACACTGCTCACTTCACTGGAGCCACAAGAACCACAGGCGTATTTTCTCTGCTCTCTTCAGCATCACCTGTTTCTGTCTGCCAGCTGTGGTGATCTTCGCTGTCTACTGCAATGTGTACAAGGTGGCCCGAGTGGCGGCACAGCAGCATGGGCCACTGCCCTCATGGACAAACACTCAGGTCAAGCATCGCTCAGACTCTATAAACAGTCAGACGACCATCATCACGACTCACCACGCCCCTCGCAGGATAACAAGAGATCGGCCTTTTATTGGCAGTAAAGCTGCTCTGACCCTCATGATTATTGTCGGCCAGTTTCTAATCTGCTGGCTGCCTTACTTTGCCTTCCACCTCCATCTGATACTGAACTCAAAACCCTGCACCCCTAATGACTTGGAGGTAGTGGTGACCTGGTTGGCATATTCTTCCTTTTCTATGAATCCTTTCTTCTACGGACTTCTAAACAGACAGATCCGCGAGGAGCTGTGCAAGTTGAGGCGCTGCTACTCAGCATACCCGACAGACCCGGCCTTTTCCAGCCACGAGGGCTCGGGCCATGAAAACTTCCTGGAGTTCCTCCATAGGACCAGTTGCACAATAGAGACACGTGCAAGCTTTGTAATGCCCAGTCCCAGAACCACTCTGGATCAAACTGGGCAGACTGGTTTCAGGATACCAGGTCAGATTCCAGAAGAGTTGAACTAGATGTACCTCACAGCTTTGACATGATGTTAATAACCTGCTGGACTATAGAAGTCATATAGGATAGCATGATTTAATTACTACCAGCAAATCTTCACACAAAAACATGACAAACATAATTTGTTGTGTCTTTTAAAACTTGATACTGTAAAATCTGTAAAAGTTCTGAAATGATCGTAAAGTCATTAATGCTTTTCCAAGCAAACTCTACTTTTATAAACTATAAGCTACAACTTAGTAGTTCTAGTTTCAAAAAGAGGGGGTCTGTGTATATGATATTATTACTTCAGAAGTCTGAATCAGTCAACAGGTTTACATACAAATCATAGATCTTGTAGATTATTAAAAGTGGATCGCTCTTCCTTTTGTAAAAATATTTCTACAACTGAAAGAGAACATGTTATTTTATAATTTCATTTAAATACAAGCAATTTTCTGCAAGTCATTACTTGATCATTTGGTAAAATATTTTTTTCCCTATGAATTTAATGATTATAGAAAAGCTGTGATCTTTTACATAATCACATGAATCTGTTTTTGTTAAGACGTTTTTTTTCTAAAAACAGATTATCAATCACCTTGGTACATTTCTCTTTAGCTTATACAGTCAGAATTTAAACAGTTTTAATTTAATTTTTTATTTTTTTATTTTTTTTTTACATTGCGGCAATAAACAGTCATATAATCTCTTTTAGTGAACATGTTGGTGTAATGTACGACAGTAAAAAATGAATTTGAATGGTAGCATATTCATTTGTAAGAATGGTCCAGTCAAAGTCCAGACCAAAATTCAATTGAAGATATATGGAAAAGTTACAAATTGCTGTATTCAGGCACTCACATCTAATTTTATTGAGCTTGAGTTATTTTGAAGAGAACAGGGTTAAAATGTAAAACATACCCAAACAGACTTGCAGCTGTAATTTCAATAAAATGTGGTTGTTCCAAGTATTTACCTTGAATAATAATAATAAAAAATCCTCAACACACTTTTCAGATTTTTATTTGTAAGAGATTCTTATACCATGTTTTCTTTGCCATCTACTTTACAGTTATATGCTAATTCATGTTGGTCTATCCTGTTAAAACCGAATAAAAAAATAATCATTTTCCAGAATTCTTTGTGTTTTGATGTCCTTTCTATGGTCTCATGTGATTTTAACTTTAGCTAAAAGCATGGTTTATGTCAAACTTTGTAGCTTAAACAGCTTATGAACAACAATGCAAATACAAGAGCTTTGTTTTCAATTTATTGTCTTCAGTAACTGTAAGAATATTTCTGGATTTCATGGTGAGTATTATAATAGTATTGACAAAACATAAACACAGGAGCGCTGACTAATTACTGTGAAATATTTTGTCTTTGTAATGAAAAGCTCAGTGGCCTGTAACCTGGATTTCATGTGTTTGCTTGTAAAAAGTCTGTGATCAAAACTGAGCCTAGTTAGCACATGGTTATGTAAGCAGAAAATGCCATTTCGTAACAGATGATGTGAGTGCTTTTGGTGCCCATTTGTGTGGAGCGACATAAGCACATCTTAGAGTTCCTTTTTTTTAAATAGTTGCATCATATTGATATGTTTTTTTATGGCGATATTATTGGATTCACCACTGCATTAGTCAAGTTTTCTCATGAAAACAGATTGCTATCACAGCTGCTGATGCCTGTGCAGTGAATATTTAGACCAAGTCTGCCTCTGTGCCACATAGATTAGGTTGAGGGGATAACATCAGCCAGACAACAGTCCAGACTGACAAATAGAATGAGCATGCTCAGCTAAATTTGTGCAAATCCTGTAACTTCCCAGGGATGTTCTCAAAAAAAAAGAAAAAAAAAAAGGTTCAGAAATAACTTGATTACATATTGCGTTATGTAAAAATCTATCTTGCTTTTATGGCATATTAAAGAGACAACAGAAATAACTGAGCGTGTCAAGGGTGAACCAGACCTTCCGACAGGCTTTAAAAAAAGAAAAAAAAAACCCGAAGCAAAACATGCATAAACACACTTGCGCACACAGCAACTAAAATGCCTTTTTATTGACCTCTGGATGTGTTCAATACGAGATAACGCTGTGCCGTTTTATGGTGTCTGGCTGCAAACAAATCCATGCAAGTGCCGAAGAGAGCTACCAGAACTGCTCTGCTGATGACAGTGAGCAGAGTGCTGTTATCAAAGGCAGCGCAATAAAATGAACACTACAAATATGATATGATTTTCCAACGGAGGTTTACTTTAGCATCACTTACACTTCCAGAAGCATCGCACCCTGATGTGAGAAGTTCATATTGTGCTGATGACGTTCATAATCATTTTGACCTTTAATGATGGATTTGAACAATTCATAAAAAAAAAAAAAAATCATTTAAAATACAATGAGTTGTCAGGAGCTTAAAGATGCAGAATGATTTAATAGTGAAAAAAAAAAACAGCAAATAGAGAAATGGACAGTAATAGACAGAGGAATAGACTAATGAACACAAATTATTCCAAAGGATTTGAGTTAAAACATAAAATTATCTATAAATCAAAATGTGAACAGGTATAACACATAAGAAATAAACAAAATAAACAGAACGCAAAAAAAGTATTTGGGAACATTGAGATTCTGGAGAACACAATTGTGTCCAAAATTTCCACCATCTGGCCGTTGTGTTGAGTTAAAGTTGGTGAATGTGGAGGAAGTCCTCCTTTTTTAATATCCCATCCACTTATTTACCAATCATCAGTTTCTCTGGCAGCAAAACAGTCCCACAGCATGATGTTGCCACCACTTTACTTGACAGTTTGTAGAGTGTTCACACCATACTTTAACTCACTTGAAGGTGTTGATATCGTAGCATTGCCAGTGCCGCGTTGGCCGCCATTGTCTCATTCCATGTAAATGTGAAACTTAGTAATAACCAGTAATTTCTGGTTCCTCACAGGTTTGATGCTCAGCAGTTCTTCTGTCCTTAACCATAGGAAAATTACTTAAAGACAGGACAATGTGAGAAAACCAACAAATCTATTACTTCCAAAGGTGACTCTGTTTTGGCGCATCTGTAATTGACTACTAGCTAATTAAATCGAAAAACTTCTCTCTTCAGTGGGAGTTCTAATTAAATCAGGACAATTACAAATGTTCTTTCTCCCCTGCGAATCTCATTCATAGTAGATCAAACATAAACCCCGTCCTTCAGAGAACAAGACTTTATGTTTTGAGCCTGATTGACTGTGGCTGTACTTAACACTAAATCTAAGGAGAAAGGTCTAATCTTCCTGTGATGCCTGTTTAATTTAAACTTGACGAGCTGCTCTATTGCACACGATGATGAATAATGCACAGTAGAGGTGATGAGACAGTCACTCCTGAGGATTCAAAGGGAATGAAGGTGATTGATGTTCCTATTTGAAGGAGTGAATAACATTATTTTGTCAGACCCTCAAATGGTTTGAGCAAGTATAAAACATGACTGTCAGTAAAGTATCTTATCAGAGCTCATGTAGAGAGCTCAGCTTTGCAATCTCTGCTGTGAGATTACAAACCCACAACAGGGTGAACTTGTACAGCATTGTTTTGCATTTTAGGAAATGATGTTAGAAGATTTTTAGCTAATCATTTGAGAACCTCTCCCCCCCATGAATGATTTTCATGTTTTAGCTGTAAACATGGATTCTGACAACTGTAAGCATTTCACTAAATAACTTGATTTCAAAGAATAGAAAAGAAGGTATAATTCTAAAAAGGTTTGAGATGACCTTGCTTTATGCGTTGGACATTTGGAAAACCCAAATGGTAAAAATGATTAACAGCTGGGAATGGCAAGACATTATGCAACTCATATAATACATGTTAAACTGCAAAACTACAAAACAACTGATAAGGATCAGTTTGTCAAGTGACTTATTAGTTGAATCTGTATAGCTTCCCTATTCTGGACTCACTTTTTTCTATGGCAATTCTTAGAGACGCAAATTCATCTTCCTATATTTATGCAACAATGTGGAACTGCACTGGAAGTTTTTTTTTTTTTTTTATCAGGATGAACACTGTTAAGTGGATGTGACAGTCTGTCTGACCTGTTGTTCTGCAAACAGCTGGAGTGACAGGTGCTGAGCAGGAACATGGTGGCACATCCAACATGCCCCACATAAGCTGCTGATGTTGGCAGCAGACGGTATCAGCTTTAATTAGTGTTGAACCGTTGCTCTTGTTGCAACAAACTAATATTTCCTCCACTCTGTGGCATTAATTTGATTAAAATCAAATCACTGTGATTCAGCTTGGTTTGTAAATGACCAGAGTCAGCTCAGAAAGGGGCTTGTCTTTGTGGGTTTATCATGGAACTGTTTCAGAAAGAGGGGCTTGAGTGACGTTAGAAAAGAATCACCACGGCAACATTTGAGCCGCATTTTTGTCAATTTCAGATAGTATGTCTACAGAAGCTGCTTCCTGTCTTACATTGTATTCCGGCGTGTCAGAACACAGCACACAATTATTTCTTAATTGCAAGTCTGGAGAGTGACAGTGACATGCGGTGCTACCAGAGGTTGTACTGACATTGGGAGGACACAGGCATTATGTTGGGAGAATGGGCCTGGTGAAGATTTCTTAAGGATACAGACACTTGTTGAT